GTAACTCATCACACTTACTTCCATTCATGCTTCTTTTGACTCTAGCCAGGTGTGCTGTCACTTTGTCAGCGCTAGCAGCCGAGGGCACAAAATTCTGCAGGGAAGTGGTCAATGCTTCCCTTGACTGCCGTGACAATATCAAGTCAACATGCTCTGAAAGTGGATTTAATCAAGAGGAAAGCTAGCTTATGAACTGCAGGAAACATAGGGTCGAACTACTGATCTTGACTAAAAAGACAATAGCGGCTTCTCAAGTGTTAGAAGCAGGGCGGATACAGGTTGGGCGATGAAACGAGTGCATCATAAACATATGAAACTGTTTATTAATATTCTTATGAAACGAATTTATCTGTTTTACACTGTAGGCTGAAATTACTGAAAGAAAACAGAATTTTCGGTTTGCGAAATGAAAAATTCTGCTGGCCTTCGAGCGCACCGGAAGCACGGAAAGAGCACTCGTGCCAGTCCTACTCCGCATCACACATCAATTGAAGAGTGGAGTGCTTGTTTCATCGCCCAAACTTTATCCGCCCTGGTTAGAAGTTCTAATCTGAAATGGCCTTTGCCCAATGTGCTTCTATTAGGGGGTGGAAGGGCTGGTGATTGGGACAAGATTCTGTGGTCGTTGGCTGTAAGTGGCTAAGCAATAGACTAAGCGCCAACTTACCTTCATAAACACTGTGATAAGCAAAATGCAAGTACAACAAAAACAGCAAATGCACAGCTGCCACAACACCACCAGCTATCAGGCCCTGACGGCGATTAAACGTTCGGCTCATAAAAACAGTCACCTGCAAGGCATAACCAAAAATACCTTGAAGCATGTTTTACAAGACAGAAAGGTAGGCATTTGAAAGGGAAGGCAAAAGGAGGAATTCAGGGGTACTCGCCTCTCACACGCCCTACTTGGCCCTTCCTTTCATCTGCCAAGCAGGCTAAGATGGACCTGCACGCTGCCACTTTTGGAATTATTAGCTTACAGAGTTACGCTTTATGCAGATGTTCTTAGCGCTTCATCAAAGAAAATCTGCATAAGAGGCTTGTGACCAATAACACAGCAACTTTAATGACTGACCCACAACAGCAATCAATACAATACAATAGCCTTTATTTAACATGGTCAAATTTGCTTAACTAAATAGCTACTTTACAGACATGCCAACAAGTTAAGACTTACACCATTAATGACGTTTCACTATTCACTTCAACTTTTACTGCAATGACTTCCTCGAACATAATTTGTTAAAAAGGTCAGTCATTGTCACTGACAGCCCTCTAAGAAGATTATAAGATGCTGTGGTTCAAAATGTCTACTTTTACTATTTTATTGTGGCTTACCAATTTAGCAGCTGATAATCCACCAAATACCAACCACAGAGCATAGAAGAACGAATGTGAATGGTGATAGCCAACAGTGGTTAAAAACAGACAAACAACATTTCCAAATAATGCATAACCCTGATTAACAGATAAAAAATGAAAGCAATCTTAGATAATACTGCTCAATGCATGAGAATCAAACCACAGGGTGTTCCTCTCTCTAATGCACTTACAATACATGAAGTACCACTGTGTCACTGAAAGGCTGTTGAGTGCTCGAAGTATCAGTAGTGAGCACATACAGAAAACAAGGAGATCTGAGCACGCATCAGGCAGTCACTTACAAGAGGTCAAAGGCAAATTGAACAATCTTCAAACCATGAGACCAAAAAGTTGGTTTGCCTATATAAGCAGTGGTCACTCATGAAGTGGTCATACATGGAGGTTAGACTGTATAAAAATTAATAATCTGAATATTGTCTCAATAGGAATTTTCAAACTCCCAAAATTAAAGTCTGTCAAAAAAGTTTTAGCTGTGCTTGCAATGAAAATTAATATCCATGTTTAAAAAAATCTGACAAAAAAAAAAGTACACAAATACACAAATACCCTGTGTAGCAGGCAATAAAAGTGGAAGGGTAAGGGAGGATTTTGGGCACACAAAGGAACAAATAGACTGAATCTTTATAGCTTTGATCATACTTACTGACAAGGACAAAATCTGAAGAAAGGTGAGGTGAGTGTTACACATGAACGACACCGAGTAGAATAATGCAGAGCCACCAATCCAGTATCCAAAACAAACACCAAAAGCAGTTCCCATCAGTGTTCCCTCTTGCTGTAATCAAAGAACAAAAGAGAGACTGTCACTAATACATGCATACAAACTTATTAACATTCCCAGGCTTTTCTAAGTTAATGCACATAATTATAATTTTCATCAAAAAGGAAAGAAAAATCGAGATAGTAATAAAAACTTAAAATTAATTATTAAAAACAAATATTTATTTCTCTGACAAACACTCCTTCAGTGATCTCTTAAAAGTTTTAAAATTGATGTTTTTTACTGATTTACAATTGTATCTAAGGAGTTCCATATCTTAGTTGCTCTGTAAGAAAACCTTCTTTGACCGCATGAAGTACGATACCAGGGGATGTTTGAATCTGTATGGTTGTTTGTGGAACGACTGTGTATCTGACTTCTTTTATTAAATTTCTCACATAAAGAGGTGACAAACTCTTAAGGCATTTGACTCATATTCAGCACCACACTCATGGTCCAAAGAAAGTCAGTTTTGCATCCTGCCATTCGGGCAAGCTGTAGCTGGCATGTACTAGCCCACAAGTCATTTCAACTAGCCCCAAAACCCCTTGTGATTGGCAGGATTGATTACAATCCTTCTGTAAATTTGAATTTCCCCCAAAAACAGCACTTGCCCATCGGGCAAGTTAAGAACACTAGCCCAATAGCTAAATCCACTAGCCCCGGGCTATTGGACATGACTTTCTTTGCACGCTGACACCCCACTAGAGGAGGTCTCAGCTCCCAAATTAATAGTAGCCCAGCCTATACATGTAAGTCCTAAAAGTGACCAACATCAATAAAGGTAAAGAGAATTGATAAAAGGGTCATCTCAGGGAAAATGCTTTGATCTTTTATCAAATTCTCTTAACTAATTCTTTAAGGAAATGTATGGAGAACAGTTTGGAGAATTTGTATGCCAATATTGGAGCTTAAAGTGTGAAATCACTGCACTTCATAACACTGAGGATGCATTCAATTGAAATGGGAACAGGAAAACTTTCTGTATAATTCTGGAAAAGCCAGTCTGATAAAAAAGTGAATGAATAAATGTTTTCAGAATAATGTGACATCAAATGATGACTAAAGAATTTTTCATATACATATACAAGAAATGTTTGACAGATTTGACTCAAAGATATTAGCTATAAAGTGTAGCTACTCTAAAATTCGAGTTAAAATGAAGGTTATGCATGTATGTATGTATGTAAAACTACATCTAGAAGATTTTTTGCCTTGTCGTTGAAAGAAATAAAAATTATAATAATTTTGTATTTTATATCTAGAAAGTGCTGCAAGGCAAACATAGAAATTCAGGATTAGGTTCCTTACTTTCCTAGTCTACTGAAATATGAAAAAGAGATTCTTCTCTGATCCAGTGATTTCTTCATATCCAATGCCTTTCATTAAGGTCTCAAGTTGCCAGGTGTATACAATTTGTAGGCAGGAAACTGAACAGCTAGGAAGTTCTCTTGTAGTAAGCTAAAGGCTCATCTTGACCCAAGGAAAATGACAACATTATTCCTTATTTTACTCTAAGCATAATTTAAGCACTGGAAAAATTTTCTCACCACTGTGTGTCCAGAGGTTTTCATACCGAACAGCAAAATGGCAATAAGCGTAAACACCAACATCAAAGGGCCATACAGTTCACCAACTACAGTCTGTACAAAGCAAGTAATAAATAACATACTTATGAAAATGTTAACAGACTACTGGTACTTTAAAATTTTATTACTTACTTACTTACTTACTCAACATTACTAATTACTGGAAAGGAGGCGGTATAATATTATGTCCCCACTAAATGAATGTATAATTAAATGCCAGAAAAGACCTGCTACAAAAAAGATAGGCAAAGGCCCGGTTGAACAGATCACACCATTTCAGAAACTTTGGACAGAAGATCCCACATCAAGGTAGGAATACATGATCACACACAATAATTATGTTACCTGAGGCGATGCTGTAGTTGGCATTTTTGGGATCAGTGAATGGAGCAACCTGGAAATAAAGTTTTAAATGCATGCTGAGAGGTTGGAAAATAATGTCACTATGAGACTAATAACTTAATCATTTAACTTTGAATTTATGGATGTCAACAAAAAGAGGTTTCACCTCACCTGAGCAAACAAATTCATAAACTAAAGTGAAATATTTTTCATTAATGAAAAGGAAGCACTAATAAAAGAATAGCATGTACATGTATTATTCTCGCTTGGCCACAAAATAAGCCAAGTTGATCTAAATACACTTTTTCAGATTTAGATGTTAGATGAACTCCAGACATTTGAATGAAACAAACTCTTACTGACAGGCTCTCAAGCATGAACTCTTTGGTCCAACATCACAATTTTATTGTACTGAACAATTAACTCTCTTTAAGATGGACACAAGGCAACATCTTTAAAATTGGGACAAAAACTAAATTAATATATTGGACTGTCCGCAACAGGCTTATTCTGATGCTCATAAATCAAAGTCTTGCTGCCATGTGTAAGTTCATCCCCTCCCAGGAAATATTCTTTGTGCTTGGATTGGTACTACAGTCAGTCTATATGTTATCTGTCCAATGCAAATGTTCAGTTTTTTTGCTACACCTTACTATTATGGGCACTCATGGTCACGAGGGTTTAATAATGACAAGATACAAATATATTATATAAACACCAATGAAATACCAGGTGAGCTTTCATGCAAAAACATGATATCATCACACATGAAAGTAACATGTTATCTTCACATGTGAAAAGGTCACCCTCATTATGACTACAAAATGAATCACCCCTTTCACATCAAAAAGCAATTAAAGTGAAATGGTTTGGTATTTCATTGGTGTTCATAGAGTCTTTTTAATAAACAGAACATTACATGGTCACTTGGAGATAAGAAATTTCTCTTCGATCGAGTGGTGAATATTTTTGAGCAAGAGAAGACAAATATCATATTTGCACGTGGCCACGTAAACTAATATCCTCTATGTATGTATTAACACATAGGACTAGTAGTAATCATAGATCAATAAGTGCGTTCGAGTTTTCTTAGCTCCAGATTAGCTTTTGTGTCGTCAAGCTTGATTTCAAAATCATGGAAGAGATCATGAATTAAAAGGTAAACATTCTTTTCGTAAAAAATGTTCTTCGCGTATACGGCTTCAAAATATCTCACTCATTAACTCTCTACTCTTAAAATGTCTTACTCTCCCTCAAGCATGGTCGATAAAAATGTAAAGTAGATCGTAAAAAGTTCTTTGTTGTTAAAAAGATAAACATGTCACTACAAACTTCGAAAAAATGGTAGCCTTGAAGGTTAAAAGTCTTGGCTTCTTGCGTGACACAACTTGAAGTGAAATCAATGATCATAGGAGCGACGGAAACATATTAGGTTTCTGCTAGATTACTGATGTCAGAGAACCGGACAGAATCTTTTGCCATTGTGCAAACTTTTCATCTCATGATTATTTTACGTTCATGTAGGTCAGTTCAACATGTTTTAAACTTAGCTTGCTTCAGCGAGCGAGATACTTATCATGCAAAATTACCCGCGTAGAGATATCAGACGTGAATAAAGCATTACAGTTGTAACAAACTGCACTGATACGCTCAAGTTTACTTTTTCGTGCATGAAAGAGGTTAAACTACAAATATGTAAATAGACTCAAACGCACGGGTAAACTTCTCACGGCACAAATGTTACCTGGTCTTTATTTGTGTGTTTCTCACGAAGTTCCAGCTCGATTTGAACGGCATTGACCGAAAAGTTTAGCAGAATCATCAGCTCAGTGATAAAACCCGCTTAGAAAACAACTCCAAAGTTCATTCTTTTGCCGAACTCAAATATTCCCGTGTAATCATCTAGTTGACCTTGATGGAACCAGTGATGCACGTGATTGCCATATGACAATTGCTTATGACGTAAAAAATAGTTGTGTGCGCATGTCCACCAGGTGAGCCCGCAATTTCTTTGGCCGGCTATTGGGCTTAAAATTCGTGCGCGCGCTTAATAATTATTCAAAATGGCGCAGATTTTGAACATCGCCCGTCCAAGTAACCAAAAATCTCGAATCTTCACGCCTGGCATGCACAGGTATCCCATCGACCACAGGATCCCCAAAGATTACGAAGCGTTCTCCTAACGTCGAACGCAATAACATAACATACCTGTCACGGACCTGTACAGGCTCAACATCAAAGTATGGCCTGAGTATATCAATGTTAGCATAAAGATCAAATGCTCTTTTGGCTGACTGCTTACCAGCCTGCCAAACCTACAAATTAAAAATCAAAGGTGACCGTTAACACTAAGGATTAATACATGCATATCCTTCTGTAAAATCATGTGTACAATGTACTATAAACCACACCTCTATACACTTAAGTTAGCTCCTTCTTTCTCACAAAATCTTGGCAAGTCTAATACTCATTTTTTGCCAGTAGTTAAAATCAATATAATTTTGAATAATAACAAAACAAAAAACACTGAATTTATACCAAACAAAACATTGAAGGCCCTTGACCTGAAATTCTTTGACCTCACTGAAAACTTTCTGAGGTAAAAGAAGTCACTATATGTACACTGTAGAGTACCTCAATTTACTAGGTGAGAACATACAAAACTACATGTAGATTTTAACATCTCTAAACAACACTTCTAAAACAAACATGTATGAAACACAAGTATTTCATCTGCTTACATATCCTCCAACTTCTTGCGCCATCCTCTCTCTGATTCTCTCCATAAATTCTGTCTCAGATACTCCCTGTCGATTAGGACTTCCTCCAGGGCTGCCAATTGAAAAAAAGCCATTCAAAAAAAGGGTTTTCTAAAAACACTCAACAAAAGGTAGAATAATAAAATCTAGGACAATTTTGCACTTGAACAAAATCCTAACTTAGCCAAAAAAACTCCGATAAGAGGCTGTTCAATGAACATATATTGGAGGTGGCTCGTACAAATCCTCTTGAACTTGTTATGAGGAAAATCACTTTGAATTCTTAACATTATACACTAGAAATATATATGACTTTTGCACCCTTTCTTAGGAAGGACAACGGCTTTAGGAATAGGCATCAGAGTAGCTTGTTGTCTTCACTAAAAGATGCTTTGATAAATCATTAAAAAGGGCGGTGGCCAAAGTATCAATTATTTCAAAAGAAAAGATTACAGGTTTGAGTGCACACATGAAAATTGCTGTTATCTTTTTCAGTTACTCTTTTCTAAAAGCACTAAAAACACAAAACCGTTGATTATCTGAGTACAAGCTACACATAACATTGACCCTTGTAGGAAAAACTTAAAAAAATTTCTCAGAGCAGTCTGTTTCATCAATTTTTACTTTTCCCATACACAACATAACTAACCTTTCAACATTTCCAGGTTCTGACTGCAGATCATCAGTGTTCGCAATATCAATAACAGCAGAGGAGGTGTCCTGTTGGATTAAAATAATAACCAAATTGGATTTAATATTACATTTTATCTATCCTTAGTTGTCTCTGTTTGCAAAAGAGAAATATCACTGTGATGTAAGCAGCTGAGCTGGATTCACAGGAGAATATTATTTTGATCTACTGTAACTATAATTCAAAGAGCAGGAAATGATTACTGAAATGCTATCAACACATGGTCACACCTTAATTGACCAATCAGATCAATAACTATGAGTTTAATACCATCAACTGACGTGATACAACTCACTTTGACTCTGAAGATGGCTACTGAACAGGTTGTCGAAACGTCAGTCACTGTCAACAACAGTCCTATTCAGGACTACCTTCACTCAGACAATTATACTCAACCTATTTATGGAACACATGGTCTCTTAATGAGAATGAAGAGTGAGATAATAAAAATATTATTTCCCCCTCTAGTTAATTGTGTAGTAGTAAGGCATCTCCATAACACTTTTTTAACAAAGGATCACAAGTTTGTCAGTAACTGGTCGTTTTGTCCTCTCATCATTAGGCTAATTTCATTAGCAAAGTTCAACGGGAACATACTTTAAATATAAAATTTTGGCTTTTCGCAAATGAGTTATCAGTATTTCCTTCATTTCTGGTCAGTAAAGTAACAAATGAAAGTTTCCCTTGTACACACAACCATGGTGAATGAACCGGACAAGTGTGCAAGACAACAGCCGTCGTCTACGAACACAATGTAAAAAAACTCCGGAGATGCTGTTTGTGCCAATAGGGCACAATAATACAAAGCATTTTTTGTGGCCGATCAGGAGCCAACATTTGCTTGACCATTTGGAAATGGTCTAGCAGGAGTCAGTACCCAGGGGCTCTTCCGCCCGAGCTTGAAAACTTTCATCACACCTTTCCTCCCAACCCGACTGACTGCCCCTATGATACAGTGTGACATATCTTCAAGAAGCTTTAATTTCCAATTCCAATTTATAAGTACTTAATCAATGATTCATTTTTTATTATTAAGGTTTATATTATTGAATTTTAAAGCTAATGACTTATTTAATTTACAATTTCAAAGCTAATCCCAAATACGGCACATGCGAGTATCACTGCAAAAAACACTCAAGAGAAACTAAAAAAATAAAATATGAATTAGATTTTACCAAAAATCAATAGTTTTCTGCCATGAACTGCTTAGTTGGGCAAGCAAATTAAGCTTTTGAATTTTTCTGCCTCTTGTCACGTCTTTTATTTTGATAACTTTGCTCATGATTTTGGCCATGACGCAAGTCTTTTAAAAACACCCTTTTCGCCTTATTGAATATAGAACTAAATATCATTGTTAAAATGGATTTACCTGAACTAGATACCAACTAGACGATCGACTCTCTTCGCTTGAAGCGGAACTGCTTTTATCCTCGTCGCCTAGCGTCGCCATATTGGATTGATAAGAACGCTGGTGGTTGCAAAGGTTTCTGGACTCTTTATGCCCGCAAGGGACGGTGGGAAGAGTAAAGGCTTTTCAAGATGGCGGCTCTTCCGCAAAAGAAGTACTACCGCCAAAGAGCGCACGCCAACCCCATGGCGGATCACACACTTGAATAGTGAGTAGCCTTTGATTAACATGATTTATATGCTAGTTTTTGCCAAACCATTTTCGGTTTATCCCCGTAAGGAGGTAAAAAACCTGCCATCAACCACTAACACTAAAACTGGGTCTGAGGATCCCATGCCAAGAGTTTGGCGAATCCCACTTCCCGAGTAAGGGTCAAATCCCGTACCTCGTCAAAAAAGTTTGTTTTTTCCCGAATCCTGCAGTATTCTTTTGGTCAAATCCCGGATCCCGAGAATAATCTGCCAGAACCTGCTAAAAGCCATGAGTGATGCATGTAGGGGACATTCCATTTTTTATCCGCACCCCCGCCCCCCCTAAAGATGACTAGAATCCGAACCCTCCAATTTATGTCGACGTTCTATGAAAAATGAAATTCAAAGGGTTCGTTCTCTGTGTGCTCCTTTGAAAAATTTGTCTGAAGGGTCAAAATTTTGTGGGCTTTTTGGAAGAAAAAATCTGAACTCCCCCCCCCCCCTATTCCTTAGGGGCGTGTGGATACAAAAAGGAACGTCCCTAGGCTGAAATGGTAGAAAAGTAATGATGTTTCTGCACAACCCCTTATTTTCTCTTATTCCTATATTTTTTACTCAAACTCTATAAACACTTGCGAGTTATATCAGGCTAATTTTACCCTCTTGTATGTGTACTAGTGAGATTAATCACATGCTGGAAATAATACTGTAAAATTTGACACCAGTGTGGTTGGGTGTCCTGTATCTATAGCATTCCTTTGTGTTAACTTATATATCACAGTGCAGCATTATATTTGACACATTTAGTCCAGATTAGAGAAGTTTACTGTTACTGTTCTAAGCATTAGGAAAATACCAAGACAAGACAAGACAAGATGATTTATTAAACAATGCAATCAGCCTTTAGGTCAGGACACTCAGCTGAAAAAGCCTTGATCAGACTCACGGATCAGATTCTAAAAAACATGGATAATGACGAATGACATGCATGGTGGTTGTCTGGTGAAGGATGTTGAAGTTTTGAAATGATTGTTTAAGGTTGATTAAAATTAACAACATTATTTCCTCTCTTGCTGTTTCTAGCCCTGTTTCACCAGATGCCATGGATTGGCATAGTTTGTTTCCCGCTTTCTTTCCTGAGAAGGTTGAAACAGATGAAATCACACATTCAAGGTGCTCAAAAGTAGAGTTTGCAGACATTGGCTGTGGTTATGGTGGCTTGCTAGGTGGGACAATAAATAATGCTAAGTGGCATGTTTTCACTCTCTGTTAGCTGTATTAGTGCAATAAATGATAACAACATAATCCTAATACTTGCCTACCTGTTGGTTAATTTGTCTTTTTTGTCCTTTTCTTGTTTTTAGTTGACCTGTCACCAATGTTTCCAGAAACTTTGATGGTTGGAATGGAAATAAGACTCAAGGTCTGAAATGAGATAATCTGTTCTCTGAAACAAAGTGCTAGAGTTTGTTATTAAATAGTTACTGAATTAGTCTAGCCGCTCTCCTTCGCAGTCCTTATTTCTTATCAGAGGTGGCCTCTAATTGTAATTGTAATTGTAATTATCTTATTATCCACTCCCCTCAGGGCTTTTCAGGGATAATTTACAACACTGGTTGGGGGACTTTGCCAGACTGCTTAAGATGCAGTTTACAAGTACTGAAGGAATGAGTGATGATGCCCCCATATATGAGTGTGAAAGTCAGATAGACCACTACACCGGGCACTACGTGCCCTACACTTTACGAAGAGTGTGTGGGTTCTTTAACGTCCCACAGATATATTACATGTGCAAGGGCTTGTGAGACGGGGCCTACGGTTTATCGTCCTTATCCGAGAAGACTAGAAAGTCTAACCATTTGCAGATGTTATTACAAAGGCAGCACTTTCTCCTCAGTTATTTAAAGAACCTGAGTGTTGGTCCGGCCGGGGCTTGAACCTACGGCCTCCCGCTCAGCAGACCGGCGCTCTCCCAACTGAGCTAACCGGGCCTCTCCTCTAAGCCTGGTGGTTTCTTGAAGTCTCCTTGCCCAACAACATGCTGTATTCTGTAAAATTCATTTTATCAATCAACGCTAATAAATGATGATGATTATGAATCCTACTCATAGATATAATATTCAATTACAACAATAATAAAAATTGTCGTAGTGTTCATCATCATCATCTACTGCTTATCCTGATGGACGTCGCGTCTTTGACCACACAGGGGAAACGACTTTTGTTTCCGTTGTTGTCAGTCTCAGATTGTTGGGATTAGTTGTTTCAGAAAGTAGGGTCCCTAGTCTTTCTTTCCTAGGCCATATCTTTACAAGATAGCTTGCTCCAACCAGTGTCCAAGGTAGAAGGATCCTATGCCTGATGCCAGTTATGGGAGCCAACACTATGGATTATGACATCGGGTGCCTCCTCAACAACATCCATCACCTGCTGCCATGACTTCATGTAACCATGATCGGGGGGCTGACCGGGTACTACACCATGCTCACAGGTGACCCATAGGCTAGCGGAGGGAAGGAATTGAATTACTTCTCCTGTTGGTAGAGGATACCCCTACCCCACTAACCTAGTTGTAGTGTTAGGTAAAATATAATGTTTCTGCTTTTTCAAGTCTAGGTCAGTGACTATGTGAGTGACAGAGTAACAGCTTTAAGGAAAGCTCACCCAGGCAAATATCAGAACATTCACGTTATCAGAACAAATGCTATGAAGTATCTTCCAAACTACTTTCACAAGGGACAGGTGAGTCAGAAAACCTCCAACTGACACACTTTTTGCTAGAGAGTGAAAGCCTCCAAAAATTAAGAACAGTCGATGGTGGTCTTTGTTGGTGATGATGATGAAATGGGGGAGGTAGTGATGATGATGGTGATAATGATGATGACAGATCAGAATGATCACAGTCGTACATGTTGAAACGACATTACCTCATTGTAATGTTTAGGCTGATGATAATGGAAGTAACAAAATTACAACCAAACCTCTCCACAACAGTGATGAATAGTTTTATCATGCATAACACGGCTATTTTCTAATGGTTTTATTGTAAATTCGCGGCTATTTTCTTAAATTTCATGACGTAGTATCTTTGTTCCTTTGTTTTATTTATTTACTGTTATTGATTTATAATAGTTAGTCTTAGTATTCAACGTATTGTACAGTCCGTAATCCAGCCCTTGGGTTGCAATGGATTTTTAATAACGCTATCTATCTATCTAGCTATCTATCTATCCAGTTATTTTGGGGACAGAAGAAAGTGGCCATTGTGTTGAGGTGACCATTATGGGGAGGTAGGGGTGTTATAAGACAATTCTTTTTTGAGGAGTACAACAGGATTTTTTCAAACCATATATAATGTATACACAAAAACTTGAATTATGTCTTGAATCAACATGTTAACGTGACAAAATAAGCAAGGTTTGTGACATTCACTATCAATTTTTGCTTACTGCAGCGGTATAAATGAAGCAAAATCAAAATATGATTGCTGCAATTGATCATAAACGTGCCAATTCATGACCACTTTTTAAAGTTTTTCATCAGTTGCTGAAAAAAACTGGCCACTGTCAAGAGGTTATTTTGGCAGTTGGGGACGTGCATTAGTAGCCATTGCTGTCATAGAGAGGTGGCCGTTGTCTAGAGGTTAAAATAAGAGTAAATGTGTGGACTGTCCGCCAGGACAAAATAAAGTGGCCATTGTGAAGAAGTGGCTGTTAGTGGAGGTTCAACTGCATGTAGTTATGACTTAAGGCACTAACCCTTTTCTTATAATCTAATATGCAACAATACTTATTTCATTTTTGCAGCTTAAAAAGATGTTTTTCTTGTTTCCTGATCCACATTTTAAACAAAAGAAGCACAAGTGGAGAATAATCAGGTGATAATATCATTTTATCCTTTTTTTATTTCACATAAGATTGTCATTGTCCACAAAGTAATGTTAGCACTTTATTTATTCTGTTGTATTCAGGGAATTGAGCCAATAATAATATTTTCTTTTTAGTCCCACCTTGCTGGCTGAATATGCATATGTTTTGGCAGTTGGAGTAAGTAAAACAGCAGTAATCTTTTTATTTATTATTCGTTTATTTTTTGTTTGATTTGTTCAATATTGTGTTTAAGGTTACATTAATATTTTGATAGTACTTAAGAAATAATTATTACACTATTGAACAGGAAGTCTCATTTCTTTCTGGGCTTTTTGAGGAGACTCCTTGTCAATTTGCACCAATTTCGTTTGATTACATAGACAATTTTGGCGGAGAAAATAAGGTTTTACATCATCAATACTATATATAGGTGCTTACAGGGAATATATCAATAAAATATTGTACAAGTGTGGAATCACTGTTTCATTCTACCCCTTCACCCATAATAAATAAGAATTAGCAAGCGTTGAATTTACTTGTCCCGAAAATTCAAACTGGTGTCTCCTTCTTCCTGACAGTAATTTATTTTTGAAATTCCAAAACAATTTCACAGCTGAATTTTGACCGACTTTTAGTTACGGACTTCTGCTCCAACGATTTTTCTGAAATTCCTCTGGCATATTTATTATATCAATTAAAGCCGATACCAGAAATTTCAGTAAAAAATATCAGCAAAATTTTTTACTAGACGCGATTTTCTTTGAACAGTAGGGTCCTTTTAAGCGCTAATTTCTCAAGAAATATTTACCATCAATGAAATCGGAATAGTTCGTATTATTGCCGAATGATATCTGTTGTAATTTGCAAAGTTTCGCAGCCATTGCGTTAAAATCGAAAAAGTTATGACGGAAAATTTGTCACAGCTAAATGCTCTTGTGTTAATCACGGAGCCACCTTAACTGCAATTAACTCTCCATAATGTCAGGTCTTCTCATAGTAAAAGGCTGAAGTTGAGTGCCATTTTTTGGTCCTCAGAATAGACAGAATGTACTTTAATTACTCTTTATTTTTATCATGATCTTTTTCTATTATATATATATTTTAATTCTTTTAAAACTATTGACCACTATAATATATATATTATACTGTACATAATTATACTATGTAAATGCATTGTAGTTTTATGACAACCACCATTGTTATATTCCTAGACTTTCACTCAGCTAAACAGGGACTGCCATTGGTTGATTCTTGGTCACGCGGCCTTGACTAAAATCAAATGTATCCCGATCGTGATACATTAAGGGATGCACCATTAGAAATGTGAAGGGGGGGGGAGTCCAAAAACAAAAAAAAAAATCCTGCAAAACAAAATTTTAAGAAAAAAAAATCCTGCATTGCAACGAAACCAGAAAAAAATATCCTGCTTGGATAACCAATGTGACTGCGACAATATATTACACAGTCTGAAAAATAAATCTGTGATCTGTAACAGGAAATCCCTTCCCCAACTTCCTAAATTCATGTCAAACTACATTTCAGGCAGAAAAAACAATTTCTACTGGCTAAATAGAGATTTCAATTTGAACCAACTCTGATGCCCTTGATCTCTATAGCTGCCATAGTATTAAATTAAGAGACTGTGGTGATAATTGTTTAACTTTATAAATTAAATAAACTTTTTATTGAAATACTTTTGTTTTAATGGGATTAAAGTGAGATTGTGTTAACAACGTCAATAGTTCCACTTGCACGCAAGTTTATGGAGTTGGTGTTGTACAATATGCGTTGCTACTTGAATCCATAAAGTTTACAGCTATAAACAAAAGTAGATGTCCCAAAAACACCAATCACACTGCAGATCCCGCTGCATTTAAAAGTATTAAGAATATTATTTACCCAAACTAACACAAAATATTTTGAATGCTTTGCAAAACCATAAATAGAAATGGTGCATTCTAATAAAAACTTGAACCTAAACATATGGGCCACAGACATATGGTAGGATTTAGAGGAAATGTTCTTCAAGTTCTTCCTCTGTATCCCAGTCCTCGCCTGATGAAGACTGACATGCTGGCTGCAGTTTTACTTCTTCTTTTTCTTCTTCTTCTTCTTCTTCTTCTTCTTCTTCTTCTTCTTCTTCTTCTTCTTCCTTTTCTTTCTGTTTTTCTGTCTCTTGTCTTCCCTCAGGTTCTTTCTCTGTGTTCCAGTCCTTGCATGATAAGGACTGAGATGCTTGCTTTCCTTCTTTCTGTTTCTCTGTTTCTTGTCTTCCCTCAGGTTCTTTCTCTGTGTTCCAGTCCTCGCCTGCTTGAAATTTCTTCTTTTGTTTTTCTTTATTTTCCTTTAGAGCATTCTTCTTCCTCTTTCTTCGCAATACTTTACTTTGGGTAAAACACCGTTTGATCTGCTTGTGTAGCTGTTTCAACTGCCACTGAACTCAGTTCGGACGTTTGAACGTATAGATTACTTCATGGGCAGCGGGCGTGCGGTATTTACGCACGAGAGTTGGTTCGCATCAGAAATTGAACGAGCAAGGCTTTGCGAGTGAGATCCAGAAAGCGAGAGAGATTTATCTGACATACAATGCGAAAAAAAAGTCATGTCTAACACTGCACGTGTTTAGGTGTCCTATTACATTATGTACTAAACATCTGTGACTGGACGAAACGCTTTTTTTCACGTGTGTGAAAGTCGTTTCGCCATTCTGATTGGCTGCGAACCCTGAACAGGGTTTTCACACGCCAAATTTCAATAGAAAATCTCAATTAGTATGAAAAAAATATACTTAAAACAAACGTGTTCTGTTGGAACACTACAACAAAAAACATTTGCGCGGTTGAAACAGTCTAGTAAAACAAGACCAAAAGAGGGCATAGTCATTTTGGAAAAAAAAAATCGTGCAAGGGTTTGAAGGTTGAAAAAAAAATCCTGCACTCCTGCTGGTTGTGAAAAAAATAACATGCCTTTCCAGAAAGTCCTACCCCCCCCTTCACATTTCTAATGGTGCATCCCTAAACAATGTATCCCGCTCGGGATACATTGCAGCACGTGATCAAAGCATGGTGGAAAGTGGCGTGACAGAAGGCGGGAAAAACACCGCCAGGTCCAGCCAGTTTTCTTTTTCGTGAATGAACACAACAACACAAAAACGAAGCCTCAAGCTAAAAAGCAACGATTTTTAAAGTTATCCCAGAAGTTCCCAGAAGAAAAACAGCAGCTAGTGGAGGAAAAAGATGCAGATAATATGAGGAAAGTACTTTTGTTTGTAAATCATTCATTCAGTGGTTTTGAGAATTAAATTTGTGTTGTTATAAGTACCGAGTCGACTGTTTTGGTTCGCTCCGGTTATTCTTTTGTTGCTGTTGAAGTGAAAGTCTAGAAATATAACAAAACACTTAATGTCAGGTCTCTCGGGAAACCAGTTAGTTTTGTTTTCCCTCGAGTCCTGATGTTTCCCTCGACTTCGTCTCGGGAAACATCAGGACTCTTGGGAAAACAAAACTAACTGTTTCCCTCGGGATCTGACATTAAGTGTATAATTAACAATTATTCTTTGAAATCGAGGTGAATAGTGGCAAAATATTTACCGAGCCGCGAAAGCGGCGAGGTAAATATTCCCAAAGCCACTATTCACCGAGATTGAGAAGAATAATTGTTTTAGTATATACACACGAAGTGATCTCAACAAAATCAGAAAGGAAACCATTCAAAAGTAGGATTTGATTGACAGATCAAATCACGCGTAAGTTTAAAAATAGATCTTTGCAGAATTTTCAAACATGGCAATTCACAAGTTTACTCATTTCGCAAACAACAGCGCAATGGCTTCAATGGAATCGCTAAAAGTTTGAACTGTTTCCTTACCTGAGAAAAAAAGTAGAGCTGTGTTGTTTTCTGTTGACTCGCCAAGTTTATAGCCAAAAGGGCATGTTGTGTCGTTCTTCGCATGAAGTGCTGACAAAAATGGCGGCTCGGTTGCTCGAGGTAAGAGGTCGTCTTCCTGTATCATTCTTTTTCCTGTTTACTTGAAATGTAGAATTTCTGCAAACATTTCCTTTTAAATTTGTTTGCCATAAATAAACTTCGATTTTTGAGCCAAAATTTTCTTCTTAGAAAACGCTGAGTTAACGAAACGGCTTCTTCTACGCGAATACACGGGAGTTGTAAACAATCCATCGAGCACAAAACTCCTGCTACAGTAAATTGAAAAACGCCGTACTGAATCCTTCCAAGTCTTTTCTTGCCTTAAAAAAAGTCAGCCCTAGGATTTTGTCGACTTTTAAAAGATCGTTCTCTAAAAAAAACGGGAAAAACACCGAGCTCACACATTATCCACTCGCTAGGAGGTGAATATTGTTGAATAGTCCGAGATAGCGAACCAATCAGATTGCTTAAATCACCAAGATCACTGAGTGTGTATATACTAATGTCAATTATGTGTCTGCGTTGTCCCTTATCTATAAATCACGCTTTTTAACGAGTAATTAATAAAAATTACTAAGTAGATACAAACTAGATTGTGTCTGGTTAGTATTCTTCTATTTATTGCTTTTTTCTGTAACAATATTTTTTTCTCTCTTATTGTGGCCATCTCGACTAGTTCAGAAGCTGATTATGGCCATAAAGCATTGTCCTTTTATAAATGGAAGATGATAAAGTTTCAAGCGGTATTTGTTGTTGTTGTTGACAGTAAAGAACAATGCTTTGTTGTTTCTGTCTTTTAGGGTCTTGTGTACACAATAACTGATGTACCTGACTTGTGTGATTGGATGAAAAAACACTTCACAGAACATCCATTGTTTGAAGAAGTCAAAGAAGATGAGCTGGTAAAAAATGCGTTTTGTATCTAGCCCTCCCCAGCCACCTTAACATGCATCATTAGAATTTATCATTCACTGCTTTCTCAAAATTGGGCCAGGCTGTTCTAAAAAGGATTATGACAACCCTGGACCAGTGCAAACTTTTTTATTCAATTACACTTTTTTTCTATAAGGCACAGGATCTAGTGGTGGAAAAACTGTACGAAAGTACTGAGGAAGGACAAAAGGTAACAAGGAACAGTGGAGTCAAACTTGTGGCTGTATTTCGGCGTATCCAGGATTCGTATGGTCAGTAAAGTGGATCGGTTTGTCCGATCGGTTTTAAACTGGCTCCTGGCAAGACAGTATCCTGGACAGAGGAGACTCTTTAGGAAGCTTTGCTTTTAAAAGTGCCATCTTAAATGTAAGCCATTGCCTAAAGGAGCTAGGAAAAGGAAAGTCCACACAGAGGATGTGCCTCTCAGCCTTGGATAGAACGGGATATATTCAATCATAGCCCTCGGTATTTTGCCTATTGTTGGCAACAAATCCGCATGACAGGGATCAAAATAATTTTTCCGGTTTAGTTATCATGAAAAGGGGAGAGAAGGGTAAAATCTTTTTCATAATGACTGTTCAACAAGGCCGGGTCCAATAAGAAATGGAAGCGGAGGACAACCCTGTCAAGCCAGTATAGCAGTTTATTAAAGAGTCGGACTTCGTGATCTCTGCTCAGTAAAGGCCTCTTTTTGCACTTTCTTGAGGCTCCCTCTTTTTCAAATTTAAATTTATTTTTGAATTACAATCTCCACTGTGGGCGAGACAAATTTTTGCCTGTTTTTTGGAGACTAAATACTTGTCGACGGATTCACTTTTCTCCTGTGACGGTTAAAGCTCAAATTTTAAGAAACGACCAAACCCTGAGGCTGGATGAAATCTGCAAAGACTTAAACATTAAACACAAAACAAAGAGTAAGTGTATTTATTTACTTTTATTTAATATGACTCCAGATAAAACATCCAGACAGTTCCAGAGCACTTAGAGAACGCTGTTTCTTTCATGACTTTGACGCTTGGATGCGCGTCCTTTTTCTTAAATAACCCGGCATTTTTTTAATACCCTCAGCAATCCGTGGAGAAACTCATGTTCCTTGTATTGTCTACTCGGGCCCTTCACGGTGCTTTCTAAATGTCCTCACAAATTCGGGGTAGTCTATAAAGCCGTCGTCATCGTAGTCCTGATCCTGTAAGATCGTATCCACAAAATACGCAAATTCATTCTCAGGAATCGACGAGTTTTCTTGACCTAAGATGGGAAGAAAAATTAATAACGTGAAACAGTGATTAAATTCAGTACAACGCCATTTTCATTTACATTCTCTTAATTTCAATACCAATTTTTAAGGGGGGATATGTTGGAAAGTCCATTCTTTGAAAGGATGTCAATTCTTTGAACGCTTGAGTAAATTAATTGTCTTTCTGCAATTTAAAATCGTTTTGTCATATTCTCACACAGCAAATGCAGCCTTATAAAAGTGACAAATGTTAGACCGAACATTTCGCAACCCCCAGACTATACCAGATTCCCAAAATAATGATGCACAGGCTTCTAACTAAGGACCTGTCTCGATTACCAGCCGTTTAGTGCGCCCTACGTTTCTTCGTGCGTACCACCATCTGGAAATGAATGGTGGTGCTGCACCCGGCGATCTTATTGCCTTCCCAAAGCAGGAGCCGATTACTTGAAGAGTTTTCCTGTCACCTTCAAATAGCAGGTCTCCCGGATATCTGCTGCCAGGTGTAAATAAGCAATACCTTCCAGACGAGTGCAGTCACCTGACTGTTAAATGCCCCCCCCGATGTTTGCTACTGCTACCCCACCATTCCCCCACGCCTTGAGTGTTTGGTGCCCTAGGGCCCAAGATAGTACCTTCTTCGTGTGAGTGATGGTGATGAAACAGCCCATGGAGTATTTCCAGTCCGTCTAACTTGCTGTTGTTGTCGTAATCATGCATCAAGAAAAACTGCACTTCATTGCTGGTTTCCTACTCGAAAAGAATAACATCAAAATGGAAAAACGTAATAAATAATCCCGAAGCGAAGATGCCTACGAACAGGCAGCACAGTGGCCGATCAGTATGCTCAATACCACTGGGGACGTTCTAATCTAAGTAATGAGACCAGATCTGAAAACGGGCATGGATGTTAGAGGCCAAGTCTGAAAACGGGTGTGAAAAATGACATTTGTTTGGGTTTGAAATAGGGTCAGGATTTGGAGAACCGGGCGGCACACCCCTACCAAGAATTTTCAGGGACAAGTAGGTTCCAACACTGGCCGTTTTCACACTAGTCTCAGACGGATAATCAGTCTCCTGTGTGAAAACGACCACAAACAATGCTTAGGATCACGATCGAAATCCACTAACATAAGGGAGGTTCGTAATATACTAATCAACCAAGGTGCTTCTGGTAGTCCTACACAGCCAATCAACCCCATCGCCAAATAAAGTTCAGCAGCTAGCGTTCGAAACGTTGCGAGGCAAATAAAAAACGGTCCCAATAAAAAACAAGCAGAGTAGTTTTACTTTCGCCACACCTGACGAAACTACAGAAACAGGTATAGGCTGCGAATTCAGAGATACGCGTGACAGTTGATTTTGCCGCCATACGTTAACGACTTAAGTCGTTTGTCAAACATAAAAGGTGAACTGACGTGGTGTTATTCCTGAGCGTTTGGTAGGCCAAAGATAGGCCCAATAATGGTGTTCTCTGTCAACCAAAAAGGAGAAATGTCCGTTCGCGGAAAGTCAATCAGTGAAAGTTCTTTCGGTTTCAGCCTTCTCGTGCTATATATAAACTCTGACCACTGTGATGCGCGAACATCGAAGCCAGCAATAAGAAAAGAATGTGACCACTTGAGTTCACCTTTTTGGTTTGATACACAAAGCTACATGACCTATCAAAGACGTTAACGTCTGGCGCCAAAATCAAGTGTCACGCTTATGTTTGAATTAGCGGTCTACATTTTACGGTATTTAAGGTGCGTTCCTTTGAGATGATCTGGATTAGGATCAGTGATCCCAGATCACGGGGATCATTGTGGATCAAATGAACCGATGAATCCACTCTGAACAAGGATTCACCGGTTCATTTGATCTACCATGATCAGGATCATTCCAAAGGAACGCACCCTTTGGCTTTAACAAGTTTCCGAAAGCTTTTGTGGGTGTTTTTTTCACGCAAAACCTAAGAGTGATCGGGAGTTCCGCATCAGGATTAATGATCCGAGTGACCCCTGACGTTTGTTAGTCTGCATTTTGCTATCATTCATAGTCTGCATAGAAGGATGATGCGTAGGCTGGGTGGAAAGCGTTTCCGCGCGAGTTCTTTATGAAAACGGACACTCGCAAGAGTCTCTCGTTCCCCTCATATCTACATCCATATGTATATCATATTTACGTGATGCCCTGTAGTGGTGGCGACGAGTACCCCTTCGAGGATAGGTCACATGTTGTTCTCAAGAGGATTTCCCTTTATCTTTTTATCAAATTGTGCGAACAAATGCATGTGAAGAGTGAATAACTAAGGCGAAAGTTTAATAAATAGTATCACATGCTCTGCTAATGAGAGATAAAGAGGCCATTGCTTGGCACATGTTCAGATGCCCATCACGAGAGAGAGAAAAGTCGAAGACTGATCAATTTGTAAAAGCCACACTTACATTTAGAATTCTATCAGCTGCTTCTTCGCCAAGTCCCATTTCTTCCATTAGGTGCTCTTTGAGATGGCTATCAAAATGAAATGTCCCATAAGTAACGAGCTCGTTTCGTTTAATACATAAAGACTATAGGTATCTATATGAGCTGTTCTAGTGACAAAATGGTCATGATAACGATAGAGATCTAACAACCTTTTTCTATTCACTTTATTTCGTCGATAGGACACACGGCTCAACAATATTATTTATTCATTTTTCAATGTCTTTCGGTATGAATCGTTTGGAAGACGACTGTTCGTCGTGCTGTAGCTGACGAATGGCGTTTCCCAAATTTATAATTTTTGACGTAGACAAATAGATTATCATATTATAAAGAACAAAAAGTTCTGCTGAACCTGTAAGCATAAACTGTGAACATACAAGTATCAGTCTTTCAAACTGGATGCAGTGTAGCACCCGAGGTACTCTTAAATATGTTATGACAATCAAAATTAAGATAATTGTCTCGACAAATCCCTTTAAACAAGTAAGGTTTTTTAATTTGTTGTGTTCATTCAGCCGTTTAAAAATAACTTGTGACCGGCGCCAATTATAAAATCGTACTGATTTGAGAATCGCCGTTTGCATTTAAAATTTCAGGCATCCGTTGTTATAATTGGTACTTACTGAGTATCTTTCGTTTGATTTTCCAAAAACTTCTGCGCTCTCTCTCGGTCTTGAGAAAGCTTTCCCGGTACCGCCATATAAAGGAAAAAAGCGAGCCACCAAATGAAGACATTTGATTTACAACGCGGACACGCTGAAATCGCTAACTGACCCATGGAGAATAGAAAATGGTTCTTTCTTCAAGCGCTCGACCGGCTAAAGCGTGCTGCGAGCATCAGAAGGGAGCTGAACGGTCGTGAAAATTTTTGGTTTATCATGAATCGCTTTTAGCATTTTTAAAAACATTTAAATGCATTCGCAACTTCGTGGAAGCCATTCACGAGCGTGGTTTATCCAGACTGGCAGGTGTACTGACGAATTCAACCAATCAGCGATCGCCCGGTCATCGTACATTTTGTCACGACTCCAAAATCAGGTATCCGCTCGGAGACTGGACCTGAATATAATTATTTTTCGGCAAATCGCTCCGACTTTTGAGATAAGTATACTAAGACTGAAGAACGCTAAGATGAGAATGGTTACTCCAAAATATGGATCAAAGCCTACATAGAGGTTAGTTGTTTTTCACGTTCTTTGTAAGAATTTATATTTAGTGCAAGGAGCAAACAATGTCTGTTTAATTACAATACCACTACCGCGACTGCCGTGTAAAGCTTATTCATAGCAAAGTATCTGTTTGGATAGCTCAGAATAAGGTGGATACTTCAGAATAAGAATGGCCAAAATATGGAAGTTTTGGCCATCTGGATTATTATTACTGAACTTCCCAATATAAAAATGATTGTTACGTTTACAAAGAGGGTACAAATACAGTCAACCATTGTGTAATTATGGCTCAGTTAATTCGAAGCTTGCTTACATGATAGCGGCCCGGTGTAGGGGGTGGGAGGGGTACTCGACCAATATTTGGGTGTAGGTGAGCCGCTGAGGGTTTGAAACCCATACCCTGTTTAGGATAACACCCTCAACTTTAGTACCCAGATAGGACAACTCCCTCAGATGGCGACAAGGTTATCAAGCACACCTGTCAACTTGTACTTATCTTATTTAGACAAGGGTGCCAAGAACAAGAACATTTATATTTATTCCAGTAAATGCTTTGGGTGATGAAGTACTAAATATCTGCAAACATTTGCACTAAGACGAAATCGATCATGCATGAAACACCCTGTTTAAAATTAGAACAGACTCGCACAAATCATGCACACTGTTTAGGACAGACTTGCAGGAAATTGTATACCCTGTTTAGGACAGACTTGTGCCAAACTATATACCCTGTTCAGGACAGAGAGGACGAAAACCATACCCTGTCCAGCGGCACATCCCCATGGAGGCCATATAAGAGGAGTACCCCCGGGGATAGCAGACAGTTGTTGAATTTATGGCTCAACATAAACTATTTCTGTTTTCTTATATATTATGGTTGATTTTTTTTTCACTTTTAAGTGGTAAGTTGTTGTTTAGTTTAGTGTGAGAAGAATGGGTACTTTATGAGATTATAAAAACCAAAGTGACCCTCACAACCTGTGGGATACTCGGGTCAACCTTTTGGTGTGCTGGGTATCTGGCACAATTAGCCAACCAGAACCCAAATCCTTTTACAGTCTTTTCTATGACCAAAAGGCCAAATGTTAGCTACTTTTGGCAAATGTAAACTATGTGATTCCAAGTTAGTCATTTTGTATTCCTGAATCTGCTGTGTGAACCTTTGTAATTTCCAGTCACATTGAAGGTGTTGAAAATGCAGCCCCTTTATTGTCCATCCTGTCATGTTGCCCCATCCACAGGTAGCCCAAACTCTGAAGGAGTTTGTTGGACTTTGAATTTACAAGAGAACGTATGACAATAAACAAAATACGTCCTAAATTCCATTTTTTGACAAAAATAGAAACGAGAATGACTTACCTTGTGTTTTTGTTTTGTTAAGCTAAAACGGCCTGGATATACCCTACTTCAATAATTATTATTTATTTATCAGTATTTTAGTTATTCATTTTAATATTAGGCAGGTACCACAAGGAAATGATTTGGTTGTTCCTTTTTAATTTAGATGATAGATAACTTTGTAGGTGATAATTATTTGTTATGCACTAAACTGGGGGCCTTTCTCTGCTACCAAAAGAAAATCTTTAACTTTTAAAACAGAAGGGTCAAGGCTTCTTTGCTGAATCAAGGCACTGTATCGTGGAACACAGTGCTTTTTAGAATTACCGCCAAAGTAGCAGCTTTATTTCCTGAAAGAATGATTATAATAGAAGCTTTATTTAATGCATGGCTAATTTCAAATTTTCAGGCGACTTTCCACCCCAGCTATAGAGGGTACATAAAAGCACATTGTGGAAGTGGAGAAAGAGTAAGAGGAAAGTAAAACAGAGATAAGAATTATGGGAAAAGGAAGAAATCAAAAAATGGTTGTAGAATTGTAAACAAACAACTTTATTTTTATAGAAGTAATAAACAGTTTTTTTACACATTTTATCAAATTCTTAGAGTGGTTTGTTTGTGGTTTTGAGAATTTTATTAACCAAATGGTCAAGCTACCCAGACATGCAACTGAGCAGCCAACTGCTTGGCCTCAAAGAAAATTTTTTTTTTCCTGTTTTCTTTTTTCTTTTTTTTCTTTTTTTTTTTTTTCATTTTATTTGCTATTTCTCTTGAAGCCTTCTCCAATTTTCTTCATTTCTTCCTTTCTTTCTCCAACTGGTTTCTCTGTTCCTCACAAGCATTTGATTGCAACACCCTCCGGATCTCCAACTCATCCTCCTGTTACAGCTGCAACATGGATATACCTGCATCATCATTTTTATTCCATTTTAAATTATTTTATGATAAGCTCACCATACTGAGTGAAAAACAAAAAATAGCCCATAACCAGCTTAATGCTGAAGGTCTTGTCTCATCAGGAGCTCAGAAGGCAATCAAGGAAATAGGTAATAGGTCACAGGGAGGGGAAGGAAAACACCTTCCCCCCCTTCCCCCTTGAGTGGAGGAAGGGGGAAGAAAAAGAAAAATAATTCATCCCAGGATCAACAGGATCTATTTCCACACTTTTCAACACCATGATGGTACCACTTGGCTGAGGACTATTGTCAGAAAGTTCAGTGTGGAATAGAGTATGGAAGGCAGAGAGTTTTGGTGACAATGAGGGTCCTAGGATTTGAAAAAAAAAACAAAACAAAATACAAGTGCAAAAAAGCAACTATAAATAATTTTGCAAAAATCCTAATGTTTAGGATAAATAATTTGAATTGATACTAGAGTTTCTAGTAAATGTAAAAAGATAGCAGGTGAACATGGGCGGGCTGGCAGAGGCCAGCAGTAGATCTAGGGGAGGTCCCCTGCCCTCCAAATTCTAGATCAAATTGAGGACAACAGTGCCAAGAAAATTCTTTTCTAGATTGAGCTCCTCCGCACCTTAAGGTCTGAATGAGTGGTTCCTTCCCGCCACCTCAAGGTCTGGTGAGAATCCTCCCCCCCGCCCCGCCCCACCCCTCTTCTTATCTGAAGGTTTCGATCTGCCACTGTAGGCTCCAGGTCCTATATCAGAGCTATACAGAGACACTACACTAATACAATCTGCAGGACCATTTTTTTTTAGAAACTTGAGCATATGTCTGCCTGCGCTTGTAATAGTGATCACCAAGGTACAAGAAGTATGACCTGAAGTAAATTAGGGACCTGTCATTTATTAGAGGGGGGGGGCAGGGCTGGTGCAATTCTTTTTTCCCAGGTGAATTTTTTTTATGCCCTCCCCCAATTTCCTGCAGAAAAAAATGTAACCCTCCCCCTTGTATGGCGCAAAATAGTTATGACCCTCCCCACGCTAAAAGATATGACAGGGATTATTAAAAGAGATCAACTTTTACCTTGTGATGAAGGGAGGTGCCAATACGATTTCAGGAACAGGTATCTAAGATCACCTCATGCATTGAAGCAATATTGAGCACAAACAATCCTGGTGCGGCTGGAAAATTTTACACGACTGATTATGTTCTTGACCCAGCTGATTAGTTAATACTGAGGGTGAACATTATGAAGCTCAGTGAGTTACTAGAGAACATTAATTATTAGATACGGATAAATGCATTAAAGCTCACCTTAACACCCTGTTTCACTCAAAGACTGGTAATTTAACTGGTAACGAGGAGAAGAGTATTCTAAATCGTTTGATGAAGCTGTTATTACAAGGTTTGATGAAGCTAAAAAAAGAGTAAACAGTGAATTGAAATATCTTAATGAGAAACTTGATCAATGCAAAGACATGTTGTGCAGTGTGTTGCTGTTGAAAAACAAATCAAGAAAAAGACGTACATGTAGGGTTGTTGGGTAGTTCAGGTTAATCATTATGAAAGTTTAAAATGCTTACTGTGCAAGGGACTTGTTTGTTAAATAATATATTTTATTTGTTGATTTATTTTTATTTTAAGTGAACAGCAATGTTTGCTAAAAATGGTATGGCCCTCCCCAAAGCCCAGCTTAAATTTTTGGTGACCCTCCCCTTTTTGGCTACATAAAATTTAATGACCCTCCCCCCAATTGCACCAGCCCTCCCCCGCCAAAAAGAAATGACAGGTCCCTTATGTGTTTTTCACTATTGTTAACACTTGTAATCAAATAACCCATAAAATTACAAGATGGTTAACTGACCTTAACTGTATTTGTACCCTCTTTGTAAACGTAACAATCATGTTTGTATTGGGAATTTCAGTAATAGTAATCCAGATGGCCAAAACTTCCATATTTTGGCCATTCTTATTCTGAAGTATCCACCTTATTCTGAGCTATCCGAACAGATACTTTGCTATGAATAAGCTTTACACGGCAGTCGCAGTAGTGGTACTGTAATTAAACAGACATTGTTTGCTCCTTGCACTAAATTCTTACAAAAAGAACGTGAAAAACAACTAACCTCATATGTAGGCTTTGATCCATATTTTGGAGTAACCATTCTCATCTTAGCCTTTTCAGTCTTTGTATACTAGTCTTAGTCTTTGAACACAACAAGGTCGTAAAGAGTCGGAGCGATTTGCCGAAAAATAATTTTATTCAGTTCCAGTCTCCGAGCGGATACCTGATTTTGGAGTATCCATTCTAGTCACGACCATTTTGTCACATGGCTTCATTGAAAGCAGTAACTGTTGTAATCGTTTAAAAATACTGTTTTATCGAGATTAACGTAATAAAAAAGAAAAAACAATAGAAATATTCCTTCTTAATAATGAAAATAGAAAGTGTTTTTATCATTGACAGTTTCAGAGCTCACCGAGTTCCTTTTGTCTTTTTTGTTTTGATGTTCAGTCCTGATCACTTGTCTTTCCGACATCAAATGGCTTCTTTCTATATTATTTATTCTTAACATCTGTTGATGTCCAAATATGAAATGAAAGTCGAAACCAACAATACATATAAGCAATGATGAATACCCAGTAACACGTGCACGCCGATGAAACATGCGTTATAATTTCGATTCTAACTGGTCGCCAGGTTAAATTTCCTTTGCTCATAAATAAATTATCTGGTGACAGCCAATATCAACAAAACCGGAATTTTAACTTTAACCTACGTCTCGATACGTCACTCGGTCGAATTTTAGTACCACTGAAGAGACGTCAAGATAGTTTATAACCAGATTTCCGCATAACCTAGAACCTAGAGGGAAAACTCTGCAAACAAATGGTAGCACACGCACCAAATAGCAACGGAAAGTTAAGGTTGCGCATGAAACTATGTTGATGCTGTCTTGAATTACATTATGGCACATTTGGGGACCTTGCCTATAAAGCAATTAGGTTGGGTCTGTTCGATAGTCTCCATTCTACAGCATAATGGCGGTCGACCATGTTTACAATAGCTCCCGCTCTTGTAAATGTCTACGCAAGAAAGGATCCAAGAAGAACATCTAGGATAGAGAATGGTTAATGAAAACGAGCAGCTAACTGTGAAACAGCTGTGGACAAGTGAGTTTTTGCCCGCCGTCGAGTCTGAAATTGAAGCGTTGTAAATTATAATGTAATATTTCCATTTCCGCGTTTTAGGGCCTGTTTACATCGAGTGGGGTACCCCGGTCAAGTGGGGTTGGTTTCTTTTGTTTTCACGCTCTGGGGGACACAAAACGAAAGAAACCTACCCCACTAGACCGGGGTCCCCCACTCCATGTAAACAGGCCCTTAATAACTTCTCTTGCCATGTGAATTAGTAAATGAGCAACAGCCATCTCGACAGCTTTGCTACTTTGGCTGTTGCAAACTGATTTAAAAATTGTACATGTTTACTTGGATAATCTATTCTATTTTGTTCTCTATAGTTTCTTATATTTTTTCTCTTTTAATAGTGGTAATAATAACAGTTTGAAGGACCACATTATTTGAGGGATAAGTTCCCAATTATTTCCCATTTTAATCTGAGGGACTCTATTCAGGATTGTCTGTATATTCTTTGGTAACCAAGAGAGGATAAAGGGGACAGAGAAGGCATCCCCCATACACACCCTATTCCATAGGTAATTCGTCTCGACCACAGATCCCAAGGGGCAGCCAATCACATAGCGCGAATGTTTTCCGCGTGGATGACCCACGTTCAGAGCCACGCGTTCTTTAGGAATTGACGCAGAACAAAATGGCGGAAGACGCGGAGAGCGATATTGCTATTCGTTTTATCGACGAAAACGACTACAGAGAGATTTCTACTAAACCAATGTCAGCGAAACAGAAATTAAAAAAGAATCACCCTTCCTCTCTTGTATAGAGCTAACAGTACAGCAGGGAAATCCTTATCACACTGAATATTCTCTCAGGATCATTCATAATTTACAGTTTCAAGAGAGCAATTTCTGGTTTGATATTTATTCTTTTATTAGTCTTTTATTATTCAACAAAAATAACACTTGGCGTCCTGCTTGCTTTATTGTACAAACGACCGGTTTCAATAGACCGGCGAAATTTCTCATTTTATTAAAGCACTGACGTTACGACAACTTCGAGTTAAACTGATTTCAGGGGTTGTCAAAGAGTCCAGCGATTCCTTTTTCTCAGGTGAGCGCCGACTCATTTCGCTTCAATATTCAGGAATGCTCTCGATCTTTTTACGCTTTCATTGCCTCTCGCCCGACATGTTTTGCGCGGCGTTTGGTCATGCGAAACCTCCACGAAACATCCACGCCTCGCGCGAGGTAACTTTATCCCGATTCTAAAAATAACTCGAGACGAATTACCTATGGAATAGGGTGTATATGGGGGATGCCCTCTCTGTCCCCTTTATAGTCTCTTGACTCTGCCAGTTCGAGAAATCGCTGACGAGATTGTTTACAGTTCTCTCAAACAAAACGACGCTTCAACGGTCATTTAAAATGTTCCGTTCGAGTTTCGCCAAGTTTTACGTCATTATGGCACTGATCTACGGTCGCTACTGTGTTCAAAAAATGCAAAAAATGATCACTTCCACCCACAACTTGCAATTATCGTCTTAAATATAAAATTTCTCCATTTTCTGTTGTCTAGAATAAAAAACCTGAACCGCAATTTCTTGCATTCGTAATTTTTTAAATGTTTGCCCACTGAGAAACTACGCCACGTTCCTTTTATCCCGTCAGTCGTGAGTCAAAATGGCGAGTATCGTGAATAGCGTCTATTGAACTATGAACGTTACTCGGACAGTGGAATAAACGCTCAAGCTCACGGTTCGAGCTGCCCACCCCGACACTAGCCTGCGAAAACAGCCATCTCTCCGGCCTCGCTCCTCGCTGCTAGGAACGTTTCGCAAGGAGGGACGTCTGCGCCTCAGCAACAGAAATTCCATACTCAGCGGCGGATCCAGGGGAGGGGACCTGGTGCCCCCCTTATTTTTAGACCAAACTGAGACCCGAAGGGAAAACAGCGTCCGCCCCTTATGTCAGGGTCTGGATGACCCCGAAGGTCTGGATCCGCCACTGATGACGTAAATTAATGTTTACAAGCTTTTCACCCATTCCATTCCCCGCATAACAACAACAACATCAAAAGCTTTATTTGCATGACCATAAAGGAATTACAGTATTGCAAAAGCTATTAGTCTAAATTTAAGTACTAATTCAACTAATTAGTACCTGCAAAACATTACAAAACGTTACAGTTCTCATTCATTCATTCATTGATACTAATTTGGTTCTTAATTCAAAGCATTGCGAGATAAATGAAACTAATTGACAGTTAATTAAATAATCAGAAGAATTCATAAGAAGAGATATTAAAGTATCGTGTGAAAGTGATTTGAAGTCAGGTATTTTAGTTTCTAGTTTGCAGAAAAATATGTCTCTGATCTGAGAATAAGCCTTACAATCTAGTAAATATAAATAATTCTTAGTAAATAATCACCAATATAAATTATCCTAACAGTAACAATATTTTCGTACACCAGGGTATAAATCTTGAAGACAGAAGATCTGGTCTTTATAGGCGTCCAAACGACTGATTTCACCAACTATTGAAGGACTACCTTTTTTCATTCTAACTGATGCTTCGTAAAATCCATCATTTGGAAATGTGACTAATTGTAATTGATATAGGGTATTCAAAACAAGCGTGTTCTTTGATTTGCCTCTATACTCAAGTCCGCAGGAATCGCATATCTCGTCAGGTTTAGATTTCTTGAAAAACTGTAGTGTTTCACTAGGCATATCCCGAAAAGCGCTTTTCACATCTTTCAAAACAAGCTTTTGACACAGTTTTGCTACTTTGGGGTTTTGTGAAAGCAATTTATTCATATGATTCACTACAAACTCCGCCAACTGTCCAATTATTGGTTCATTCACCGAAATTTCCTCTAAATTAAGACAAGGACACCAGTGTTCCTCAACACCTGCCATGGTGCAAGTACGAATTCCCTCGTCAATCCGGTTAAACAGGCTTTGACCGGTTGTTATCCCACTTGGATACTCGGGATACGTGATAATGTGACGAAGGGTAGCGTATAGATCAAACGGTGTAGTAAGAACACCTGAATTATGCACAAGGTTGTTATAAAGCTTTGGGTACTGTACTGAAAACCATTTTGGTGTTGTGATTGATAGAAATGGAAGCCGTTCCTCAAGTTTTCCTTGAATGGTTTGCCTCAAGGCGGAAAAGCGTGGTCCGTGGTCTCCAAAAACGACCAGAAACGTGCTGTTAAGGAATGATTCTTCCTTCAAGTGTTGCAGAAGGATCTTAAAATCATCATCTGCATAACCGAGGCTATTAATATTTTCGTGAGTTAAAGGAGCAAGCGAGACAAAAGAGAATTTCGGTGTGTTCCTGTACGCACGAAAATAACTTAGCATATATTCAAATGCAACTTTGTGCAAAGCTCTACCGTTGATGCAAAAATGCTCCCATCCCAAATCGGCCGCTGCCATCCAGAATGGTCTTGCAAAATGATCTGTTGGGGGATCTTTGAAGCCCTTCAGGCGATAATTGAACGACCCAAAGCGAGGCGAGTCTTCTGAGAACATTGTAACATATCCGTTTTGCTTGAAATCCTTGAATATCCATCGCCATATGTCAACAGGGCTGGCTGCATTTCCCATATCTTTTCTCGCCTCCGGTTGGTCTTTTTCCGCAATTCCAGTCAAAAGAGCGGCCAGCTGAGTTGTGGTACCATCTCCAACAATTGTTTCGCCTTTAAAATGGGTAACACAGGGTGTTAGAATTTATAATCATTAAAATTTGACGAAATTTGCCAGAAAGTCTTTTCATATCTCACTTCAGTCAATGAAAACCTTAAAATATATTTCTAACAACGAAGTTTTGTGACAATCACGTTTCTCACAAAAAAACGTGTTTGTTAAGTCGTATTTAAAGAATGAGGGATATTAATTGTAAGCTGTGTGCAAAATCATAAGAACAAAATCTAATGATTGGATTTTGCCTAAGCCAAATTAAAAATTCAAAATTTTCGGCTTCTTCTTTTCAATTACTCAATCACGGCAGGGACTAGCACTAGGTTTCTGATTCCTAGGGAGGAGTCCGTGTTGTTGATATTTGACTGCGCATAACTGTAAAACTTTGACATAAATGTAGCAAAGTTGAAGGTCAATTTTATATTCTCTTGAAAAGCTACGTTTTAACCAGTATGATGTCTTTTTAGACCTGATCATCTCACCTCGCATCAACAATGAATTCAGATCATCTGTCAAATATTCCAAGCTTTTTGGCATTTTTCTCTTGAAATTAGCCGCGGATGTGGAGTCAAACATGATCAGTGCAATATTCAAAGGAATACCACCAGGTTTCTTTCGCCTTTCAAGTACTTCCTTATTTGGAAACACGTGCATGTGCACGTCACTCATTGTCCAACCCCATGACGTCACTGCATTGACTTGAATGAAGTCGTGATCCACTTTCGCAAAGCCCGAAAATTTATCTGCAAATAATAAAGATCACAATTTCTCGAAGCCAAGTCCGTCACACCCATTAGTTTTGTAATATAATTTCATACAGGTTTTCCTGGTTATTCCGGAGTGTTCCGAGGTGTTCCGATTTCCCGGTTATAGCACATGCCACAGAAAAAGAAACAAAACAAAAAAGCCTTTAATCCCTAGCTACCTCGTCTTCAGTGTTTTCCCCACCCAACCCTTCCATTTTCTAAGCGAAAAGCCTTGGACACGAGGTTGGTTGCTGGTTTTCACTAGCGACGGATTCGGAGTCGGAATCGTAAGCGGAGTCGTAAGAGCGCTTATGACCTTGTGAAAATCAAAAATCGGAGTCGTAAGCACGACGGAGTCTGAGTGGAAAGAATCAGAGCGTTTCCATTTGCTTCCGACTCCGCTTATGACTCCGTCGTTTACGATCTAATGAAAACCAGATTGCCGGAGTCGGAAGCAGAAGCGGAAGGACAAACCAATCACAATGCACGTTCCCACACTTTGTGACTGGTTTAGTTCTTCTACTTCAGCTTACGACTCCGACAGCCTAGTTTTTACTAGGCCGTAAACGACGGAGTCAAAAGCGGAATCAGAGCGCTGTTTCTTTTGTATCGTTATGTTATACGCTTCTGATTATAACTCCATCGATAGTAAAAACTAGCCTTCATGATTGTCAGAACTTGGCTTCTTAATCCACGACCCGCGACTTACAAAAAGCAAGAGTATTAGTACTCTGTTTGCAGCCTCGGTTCCAGGCCAATTTTCGCTATCCGAGTGAGCGGAGAAGGCTTTGTACCGACATCGAAAACTTGCCGATGACGACTGGGAACAAAGCTGCTCCGTTTGATTATTAGAGCGCCTGTCTAATTGCATATCTCTGAAGAGCGAGATGACGGGTTCGATCCTTGGGACCGAAGCCATAAAATTCCGAAAATAAGCCCCGGGGCTTATATTTTTCAAAGGCATTTTTTGAGGGGCTTATATTCGGAGGGGCTCATCTACGGAAGGAAATTTGCGTTTCCAAATCGATTGGGCTAGCCTTATAGTTGGAAGGAAATTTCCCGTTTTTGCTTTGCTTTACTTTGTATTTGAGGGCAATTTCCAAGTACGAGCACCCCGAGTTTGGGGGGCTTATATTTGGAGGGGCTTATTTTCGGAATTTTACGGTATACTTTATGGCATTAAAAAAAGTTTAAACCTCAGGTCAGTTTACGATAAAAGATGAGGGAAGGGCTAGGGTCATCTGTTATAGATGTCTCAGTTATGAAATACAGTTTATGAGTTATAAACTGTACTTCCATTTTTGGAAATTTTGACGGGTCGGTGACTCGGTGGCGGGGTAGTATAGCGGTATTATTAAAAGGAAGTGAGATCAGTGTAGGAGGAGGGCCCAGGTTCAATCTGGATTGTGCGACCGTTTATGAAAGAAAATCGGCGACGCTTAAACACTGCTCAAGGTCTTAAAATAATTTAGGAAGAAGGAACCGGCTGATTGCCTTTGCTCTGCAATTGAATGTCGAAACCCGTCCCCAGAAGGGACGTGTTCACAAGTCCGAAAAATTGTAACTATTTCGTGCTCAATATATTAACACTAAAAAAGTCATTTTTAAACTACAGGTCTCCTTTTAAGATTATAAGCTGTTTGCAAAGGTAATCAGACTTACCTCCTGAGCCAGTGAGAAAATTCCATAATCTCGAGAACAAACCTAAAATACGAGAGGAAGCTTAGTAAAAATACTGCACGTCTCTGTTAATATGATTGCGGAACTCAGTTTAACTAATGCACTATTGGCACCAAAGCTGCCACGAAAAAGAAAGCAAAAGATTTATTGGACATGACTCTATTCACCACCTTCGCCTTGACCATAACACACCTTGTTTATCCCCCGTATTCGGCTAACTCTATGTTGTAACCAATTCAGACCCTTTGGGAATAAAACTTTTTGTTTCAAGAATTTCCAGACATTTAAATGAGAATGCCACATTATAATGCAAATACAATTTTACAAAGAATCTTAACCCCAGGAGAGTTGAATTGGGTACAACATTGAGTTAGCCGAATAGGTCTATTACCGGTGCTCTTGTTTACATGGGCGCTCGTCCGCACTGAACGAAAGCCTGAAACAAAGAGGATATTGCATGGCCGCGCGGAGATACGAAATTTCTCTTCGAGTATTGAAAAATATTGCGCTCACTCGTGAAATATTTTTTCAACACGAGAAGAGAAATTTCGTATCTCCAAGCGGCCACGTAATGTTCTCTATATTATATAAACACCAATGAAATACCAACCCATTTCACTTTAATAGTTTTTTGGTGTGAAAGGCGGGATTTATTATGTAGCCATAGCAACGGTGATATTTTCACATGTGAAGATAACATGTTATTTTCACATGTGAAGATATCAAGTTTTCCCGCGGAAGCTCACCTGGTATTTCACTGGTGTTTATATAATAAAGGCCAATATTTTCTTTTGTTAAGATTATTCATTTTCCGCCAGCAATTGTAAATTCTAAATAAAAAAGTTAAGACTATTTGTGACGCATGGGTGCGGTACGGCTGTTTTTCCGATAAAACCAATATTGCTTTTAGACTTCCTTATTACGTGGTTCCTTCAGAAGCCGTTATTCAAGGACATCCAGTATTTCCGCAAAAACCTTCGTCATACCAGCTGCACATTTACATCTACATGTATGCACTGAGCTGTGACTGGATTAACTGTTATGCAAACCGATCGACAGCTCTATTTTTTGCAATTTTATTGTCCGGAGTTATCAGAATACAAAATTCTTAATTGATCAAAGGCGTTCAATGCAGTAAACGAATATGTTGGTCCTTTTTGGGGTATGATAAAAGTTTGCAATAACGGAGAGACAAACCAACGTCGAATTCAACCACAGCATAATTACATGTAAATTAGTCCTCACAAAGTTGTATAACACAGGTACAGTCAAAACCACTTTCTCACTAAACGAACGAAAATGAAAGGCATTAATTCAGCCTGAAATGAGAGAATTATGAATATTTCAGTGGATTTTCTACACAGCAAACGCGGTCTTTAGATAACATCCCACGCAGGCGTTTTTAGGGGAGCCCGTATTTCGAGGTCCCCTAAAAACATCTGCGAGGGAGGCTATTAAAACTACGGGTAACAGCAGTCAACTGCAGAAGGAGTATTCCGAACGGCCGCCGAACGCCGAATGACTCCAAGTTTAGGGGCTAGAATGGAAACTGAGAGAATCTAGTTCTAGTACTGGTCTTTATACAGGGCAAACTGAAGCAGAACTTGACTCACTTAACTTCGTCGCCTTAATCTTGGGTTATAAGGCGTTTTGCGCAATTTCCCTGCAAATCTGAATCAAAGCCCTGATAACCGCTACATACCTTTCGAGTTTTGCGTTTTTCCACCACTTTTGTCGGCCAAGTTAACGATAGAAACTGGCTTCGAAAGTAAGACATGATAGTCATCGCCGGCCTTTCTGCCAATTTTCCGGTACTGAGCTGAAACGATACCCTCACCTTCCACGCGAAGAACGTTGTTTTCAAAGCTTGAAAAGCTTCTTCCTTTACAACGTAACTCGCCAAGGTCTTCTACAAATTTAAGTACGCTTTCGTGATACGGGTCTAGAACTGGAAGCCTACAAGCAACGAAGCTCCTGTTGTCCACATTTTTAACGTATTTAAAGCGAAGAGTTTTTTCAAACGGAGCGGAGGGTCGAAGAAGTGCCAATACGGCGATTCCAATCACGCAAACTAGGGCGAACACAATTCGAAGACTGTGTGGTTCAATTCTACACGGAAATCTAACACACTTTATCATCATAACCAATCAAATCTAGAGGCAGTGTTACACAGCACAATTCTTTGTATACCTCGTCTCCGAATAGCTCAGTTTGGGAGTTCAACGAAGTGGAAAATCACAACCATGACACCCGTTACGCAAATAATGCGCACGCAAGCGTGTGCTGTGCGTTCCACGCGCAATAAGTCGCGCGATGGACCCGTAAAAGCTTGCGGGTGTTGCCACCCTATTACAAAAACTTGCCCAATCAGGAATGGTCAAAATTCCGCTCACTTTTGATACTATCTTAGGCAAAACAACCTCAGTGAATCACTATTCACGTGTCAGAATGTAGATTTTTTTGCCCGCACAGACGGGTATCCTTTTTATAATTTGCTCATAAAGTTGTTCTCTGGTTACTTTGTAAGTGAACAAAAGGTAGAATTTTTTTCAAACTTTTTTGTTTTGTAGTAAAGCCGACTTCTGTTCAGCAAATTTAACCTCCGAGGTAATTTTTTTCAATGGGATTGTGAGGGTAGCTTCTACTACGAACGCTTGTGAGTTAACTGAGTACTTTGTTTTAAAACTGTAAGCTCTTCACCTTTCATGAGAACTTTCTGATTTCATTCTTTCTGCAGCTAAGTAAAGCGCGAAATTTCTCAAGGTGTAAAGCGCACTTCCCTTGGGGGTGGAAGGGGGGGGCTAGGTGGACAAGATGGTTCCTCAATACGCCCAAATGGACGTATTCGAAAAAAGAGCATGCGAGTTAATTAGATGCCAAGGAATAAATGATAACAAAATAATGTTCTTCTCCAACTGCGGCACCGTTTATGTCAAGTGTTTTTAAAAGAAATTGTCGGGGTTTTTCCCAAAGAGCGAGAAAGACAGCTTAACATTATTGTTTGGATTTTCAATTTACATCGATCCTTGCGTCGACAAGGATCCACCAGGCGATCTTAGTCGTCCATCGCGGCGAGTTCCCACTCCACTCTCGTTACCATTCTTCTTCTTTGTCCAGCTGAATCTTTCAAAAGACATAATTTGATCGGCTGGATTAGTTGCCCGACTGGAAGGCAATACTCAATTTCCACTGCATTTGGAAAAAGCTCGCAGTAACAGAATGTGGTCTATCTCGCCAATACACCAATGAAAAACGTTCCTACTGAGGATTCTAATAACAATAGCAATATTTACGTGCACCAGGGTATAAATCTTGAAGACAGAAGATCTGGTCTTTATAGGCGTCCAAACGACTGATTTCACCAACAAGTGAAGGACTACCTTTTTTCATTCTAACTGATGCCTCGTAAAATCCATCATTTGGAAATGTGACTAATTGTAACTGATAGAGAGTATCCAAAACAAGCGTGTTCTTTGATTTGCCTCCATACTCAAGTCCGCAGGAATCGCATATCTCGTCAGGTTTAGATTTCTTGAAAAACTGTAGTGTTTCACTAGGCATGTCACGGAAAGCGCTTTTCACGTCTTTCAAAACAAGCTTTTGACACAGTTTTGCTACTTTGGGGTTTTGTGAAAGCAATTTATTCATATGATTCACTACAAACTCCGCCAATAGCCCAATAACAGGTTCATTCACCGAAATTTCCTCCAAATTAAGACAAGGACACCAGTGCTCCTCAACACCTGCCATGGCGCAAGTGCGACTTCCCTCGTCAATCCGGTTAAACAGGCTTTGACCGGTTGTAATCCCACTTGGATAGTCGGGGTACGTGGTTATGTGACGAAGGGTAGCGTACAGATCAAACGGTGTAGTAAGAACACCTGAATTATGTACAAGGTTGTTATAGAGCTTCGGGTACTGTTCTCGAAACCATTTTGGTGTTGTGATTGATAGAAATGGAAGCCGTTCCTCAAGTTTTCCTTGGATGGTCTGCCTTGCTTTTGAATAGCGTGATCCATGGTCTCCAAAAATGACAAGAAACGTGTTGTTAAGGAATGATTCCTTATTCATCTGCTGCAGAAAATTCTTGAAATCATCATCGGCATAGCCAATAGAATTTAAACTGTCATGTGATATGACAGCATGTGTGACTAAGGAGAATTTCGGGATGTTCTTGTAAGCTCGGAAATAACTCAACAGATATTCAAACGAAACTTTATGAGATGCCCTACTGTTAATGCAATATTCCGTCCATCCCAGATCCTCCGCTGCCATCCAGAATGGTCGTGCAAAATGATCTGTTGGGGGATCTTTGAAGCCCTTCAGGCGATAATTGAACGAAGCGAAATGAGGTGAGTCTTCCGAGAACATTGTTGCATATCCCTTTTGCTTGAAATCCTTGAATATCCATCGCCATATGTCAACAGGGCTGGCTGCATTTCCCATATCTTTTTTCGCCTCCGGTTGGTCTTTTTCTGCAATTCCAGTCAAAAGAGCGGCCAGCTGAGCTGTGGTACCATCGCCAACAATTGTTTGACCTTTAAATTTGTAAAACAGGGCACTACATTACAATTGTCATGACATTTTGTAGACACAATAAGCACGAAAAAATCATTATGTATCAACTAATGCCCTGGCACCAGCAGCAGAATCCGCACCAGCGGGCGCCTGCAGCAGCAGCAGAATTCCCAGTAACTGCACCAGCACAATCATTAACAGTATATAAGCTCGCAAAAATATCAGAAATATCAGCATCAAAAACAGTACCTCCATCAGACGCAGCAACAACACCAGCATCAACAGCAGAAACAACACCATTATGATCAGTAGCAGCAGCAGTAGCGGACGAGTAGCAGCAGTTGTAGTGTTAGTAGCAGTAGCAGCAGAATTAGCAGTAGCGGCAGCAACAGCAGCAGAAGAGTATAGAGTTGCTGCAGCAGTAGTGCCAGTACTAATCGTAGTAACAGCAACAGAAGTAATAGCAGTAGCAATAGCAGCAGTGGTAGTAGTGCTAGTGGAAGTAGCAGCAGCTGAGCAGCAACCGCTCGTAATGGGAAACGGGTAATGGGCTCTTAGAGAGTGTGGTAGTTATAAAACAATATATGAATCTGCAGAAACTCTGGTAGTTTTCGCATTTGCTTCTTCTTTAAGTTTAGCTGAACCTCTGCATCCGGGTACATCCACATGATACCAAAAACCCTGCAGCTGTCATGAGATATGTATATATTTCTCGTATCCATCCTAGTTAAGTATTTCCAGCACAATTAAACCCCGTTACTACCCCTATGGAGGTTAATGTCGTAGAAAATATCCTCACCTCGCATCAACAATGAATTCAGATCATCTGTCAAATATTCCAAGCTGTTTGGCATTTTTCTCCTAAAGTTAGCCGCTGACGTGGAGTCGAACATAATCAGCGCAATATTCAGCGGAATACCACCAGGTTTCTGCTGCCTTTCAAGCACCTCCTTTTTTGGAAACACGTGCATGTGCACGTCACTCTTCGTCTGACCCCATGACGTCAAGGCATCGACTTGAATGAAGTCATGTTCCACCTTTATGTTCTTACTCAAAAATTTACCTGCAACTGAGGAGCCAAAAGATTTTTTCTGAATCTGTCTTAAAAGCTGCCTGCAAAAGTTATAACTAAACTTGTCTGGTGAAGATGACAATTTTTCCAGGCAAAATCTCCAGTCATTTTGACCGGTTACTTACAGTGGTTTTCACTTGAAGACCACATAAAGTCCATAAAGAATACACTTTTTCCACCGCGTTCAACGAAAAATTGTTTTAGCTTTATCAGCACAAATCATTGCCAGAAATCGTGGACATTTCGCGCCCGTGATCAATTGTCAGCGGAATCTCGTTTTTAAAATGGCGGACAAAAACTATCGACTAGCAGCTAAATACAGGAATTGCACCGACCTGTGATTGGAAGATAAAAATAGTATTTCAGTGACGATGACGTGACAATTCGTTACGTTAGCCGTTTCAAGAGTAATGGTTTTTACACGAAAAAGACAGTCCACAGGAAAATACAATATAATATTAAATATTTCTCAAAGACAAACAGTGCAGTATTCTTTTGAAGTCGGCTGACTCGCTAAGAGTGTCCTATCGAAGTTGAAGTTCAACTGTCGCAAATCGGATAACTTCACTGAGTGATTCTGAGATGAAACCTTTTGTCTGCATCCACATTGATCTTAGATTTTACCACTTACATATTGAAGAAAAGCCATAAACAGAGCTTCAATGTCCACGTACACCCGACTGAACCTCGGTGCGATTCCTGCAGATACCGCTGTTCAAACTAAATGCAGGAATTGCACCGGACGCGTTCTCGTCCCCAGAGTTTTTTTTTTTGAAACCGCGACAAGACGTCGATCCCTTTTCAATATAGTCTTGCGACAAAGGTCTGTATTAAAAAAATTAATACTGTTGTTCGAGGGCATGCAATGAATCATGCTAAAGTTTCTATTGGGAACACAAAATAGAGGTACCAGGGAATCACAGGGAACAACTGTGTAAGTGACATAACTTTTTATTTAACTTTGTAGCTAGTGTGCCGGTGGGGGGATTCCTATACAATAGGCACAGGGCGGCTCATTAGAAAATTTAGTGTACCAAAGACTTTCTTTGACCCCTCGAGGAGTCCACTTCAACACTGTTAGCAGTAAAGTATGTGCAGGGCTTTTGTAAATGGATATTTCTATATTTACTGACTTTCCACCCCCAATATAAACATACCAATTAAGTGAGATCAAATTCTGTGTATTTCTATTGGGGCATCCCAAGGAAAATACCATCCTTGGAGGGAGTATGGATATTTCCTGGAACAACGCATTTATTGTTTGTTATTAATAATTTAAAGGAAAAATAACACAGTTTGTTTATATAAGTGTATATGTTGTGGTTCAATTTGATCCTTGGTTTAAATTTTAGTTTCCTTTATTGTAAACTCATTATCATAGATTACCATACACAAAAACAAAGGAAAATATAAACCAAGGACAAAATTGAACCACAACATACATATATTAAGCTTATGTATAAACTAGCCAACGTATATATCTGTTACCTAGAAAACATTTCGGCAATGATTTATATAATGCTAAGAAAGCCAGACATTCATGCTCACAGCTTGGGGCTATATTTCACAGCCGGCAAAAAGTTGATTATCCCTGGTAGTAGTTTTGCAAAACAAAAAGCAAATTTAAAACAAACAGAAGATTTCAAATGTACAGAAACCAAATTAAACAGTTTTTGAGTGCATGAAACAGTACATATGTGTGTAAATACTGTCAAGAAGGTCACTTAAAACCCATCGTGTGACACAGAGAGAAGCCATGTCATGTCATAGTTTGGAATAATATAATCAAAAGGATTCAAGTATAGAATTTCCTGAAATTTCTTTATGGAACTTTCTGGAGGATACATTTGGACAGTCAGTGGTTTAATGTATGGTTCTGAAAACCAGTTTAATTCTGCTTGGACGGCCCTTTGTAGATCCCTTGCATAATGTACTTTTAACATATCTTTAACATCAGATATGCCAAAACATTGGGAGCCATGCTGCAGATAATAGTAACCCTTCTCTTCTTTCTGCCAGAAGCTTAGCTGCTTATCCCATGTTGTTAACAGACTAAACGGTGGTATTGTTTTCAATGAAAAGGGGTTTGTTGTAATTCTTGGAGAATCTGACACAACAACATCACCATCAGCATTTCGAGGGGATTTTGTGGGGGGTAAATTGAATTCAAAGGCCTCTCTCCTGGTATGGCTGGTAAGGGCAGAAGAGGTTACTTGCTTACTGCACTTTTGCCAGTCACCAGCCTGCATGGAATAGAGTTCAGATTCATTCAGATGAGTGTTTAGTCATTGACTGCCCTCAACTCCCTCCACCCCCCCCCCCAAAAAAAAAAATGAATAAAAAATATAAATCAATGTAGAAATGTTATCCACAGGTACACAAAGTGTAAATACAAGAGCTAATTTCAGCAAACTCTTACAGGTGGACCGCCTTTTCCCTAAATTTTGCGAGTGAACATGACATGTAACTCTATTAGCTTAAAACAAGCATTGACTCGTCTTTAGTTTCTCCACAGACTTTTTTCTGCGAAAACTCAACCCCACCCACCCACCCCTGTGGCAGGTCAAATGGTCCTCGCAGCTACGTGCTGAAACGCAATGATTATTCGGTTTGCTGAAAAGGGGATTTTTGTTTCTTCCAAAGGACATGATGGGATTTAACCAGGCTGTTTAGGTGACCATTATTTTTACATTGCTGAGGTATTTCAGATTCGATATACTCACCAAGGAGAGCATGTTACACTTGTAAAGTCAAGCAGTAAAAGAAAAAAAAAGGCAAAGAACAATCAGCCCGAGGTTTAGATGACCTTTAGTCAGGATCCTATAACCCCTGCTTCAGTATAATTTAACTTCGAATACAAGTGATGTGTTATTTCCAGTGGCCTAAGTCTTGTCCTATCAAGCGAAAATCAAAACGCGAGAAAATCAATTAAAGTTTCCCGCGGCTATTTAATTTATGCCAAGTTGCGCATTCGACCAATGAGCGTCCGGTGTATTCTCGTTCCCAGAGCCCGTCTTTCTTGGTCACGTGCTCTTTTGTTACAACTTAGAGTGACTCTGGGGACGAGAACGCGTCCGGTGCAATTCCTGCATTTAGTATGAACAGCGGTATCTGCAGGAATCGCACCGAGGTTCAGTCGGGTGTACGTGGACATTGAAGCTCTGTTTATGGCTTTTCTTCAATATGTAAGTGGTAAAATCTAAGATCAATGTGGATGCAGACAAAAGGTTTCATCTCAGAATCACTCAGTGAAGTTATCCGATTTGCGACAGTTGAACTTCAACTTCGATAGGACATTGACTCTTAGCGAGCTAGTCAGCCGACTTCAAAAGAATACTGCACCGTTTGTCTTTGAGAAATATTTAATATTTTATTGTATTTTCCTGTGGACTGTCTTTTTCGTGTAAAAACCATTACTCTTGAAACGGCTAACGTAACGAATTGTCACGTCATCGCCACTGACATACTATTTTTATCTTCCAATCACAGGTCGGTGCAATTCCTGTATTTAGCTGCAAGTAACTATCGTAGTCAGGGAAAGCGTATCCCTTGCGATTTTTTAAATAATTTGAGCTCTGTGGATCTGTTTTACGAAGAAAAAAGCTGGAATTAAACACCTTGCAAGAAAATGTTAGGTTTATACGCGGCCGAGCGGCTGATAGCAACAAAACAGTACGCGGATGTACCTTTCGTGACATTTTCGTGACAATTTTGTTTTAAAACCAAGCCTGGTAGGCTAATCGAGGATTTTTGAATGCCTGGAACCTAGTTTATATCCCGTGAAGCATCTCTGGAGTTGTAGCAACAAACAAAATGGCGATTCGGTGAGGTTTGGAGTTGTGAAGCTTTGTCCGACCGAAATGTGTCATTCGCAACCATGGCGTCCATTACTGGACTACAGATGGAAAACTGAGGGAAATAATGCGCCTTTGGAAGTATTTTGCAGTGCAAAAATCGTCCTTTTAACGACTGTTTTGGAAACATCTTCCATCGCAGAAGTGATATCGAGTCGGGCAAATTTACTTCAGTGAAGGGTTTATCCTCTAATCGACGAGTATTTCGCATGACTTCGGCAAGATTTTAAGACAATGTATGGAGAAATGGAGCGTACAACAAGGAATAAAAGTGGCCACATCAGGAAGTAAGTAAACCTACTTCTAATTAGCTATTTTTAACCCAGATGCGAGGGTTACACAGCACTTAACATGTTTCGAGTCGGGCACCGAACACCCGTGAGCTTATAATCGATATATTTGAAAAAGTTTCGTTATCTCCATACATTTTCTTATACGAATTCGCAGCCATTGTGGCCTTAGTGCGCACGCGCAACCGCCATCTTGTCCCTAATTTCTGGCAATGACAGAGTAGGTTGGTGACAATCTCATTACTAAAAGACAGATAGTGGATCTTTTGTAGTTTCTTTAGATGCTAGGCATTTCCTTACCTGTAATGTATTTTTAGTTTTCCTTTTATTACACTGCATGCAACTGACCGTTAGACTAAAACTACCTTACGCTACGAAAGCATTAATTCAATCCTCGAGGAACTCATAAACATTTAAGTATGACTTTTTTCTAATAAAAGGACTGTTCAGATAACAAAATCCTCAAAAACAAGTCACTTTTTTAACTAATATGACAGGTTAGAAATTCAAGCGTACTCTATCCCAAACCAAAGAACCCTTTCGAAGGGAGAATTTGTAACGGATATAGGTTTTAAGCTGTTCTGACACTTCATGAAAGTAAAAGCTCAGGAGATCGATAATTCTTTGCTTGTAAACAATTTAAAGTTTCATCTTACGAACTGGTACCGTTTAGGGTGAAAAGGTCTAAAATTTACCGCAGTTAGAGTTGTCGCTGCAACTTTCAGACTTCCTACGATATTAGGACTAATATAAACGGAACTTTTAGTTAGTCATCTGAATAGTCTTTATCGCTAATGAAAATGTACCAAAATAACGGAGGAGGAAATTTACGCCAAGCCAACAAAACAAGATTCTTGGGCATTTCAGGGGTATTTTTGAATTTTTTTCTACGAGTGCAACACAATTTTAAAAGGGCAGAAAACGCGAAAAATCAACTCCTGTTCTGCAGGCTAAGAGAACGCCTGTTTACTAGGGAAGGGATACTAAGACCTTATCCACACTTATCCACACGTATCTGAATATTTTTAAAAGGA